AAAGCATTTTAGAAATAAAATAATTTTATTACATTTTGAAGACTTAATCAAACATGATCCACATACTGTACATCGAAAATGTATTTTTTAAACTTTATTTAAATGTTTGGGATATCATCCCGTTTTTAATTTTTGAGACTTCTTAAATGACTTCCCCGTTGTTTAACTGTTCACTGCACTGAGACCTATCTACCAAAAGTTAATATTATAGTACCAATAGCTTCCGAGCGATATGGGTATGATATAATATGGACAGATGGACAAACCATAACCGAAATTAAATTTTCCATTTTAGTTTCTTACAATGGAACCCTAAAAACAAACTACATATATCAAGTTATAATTAGGAACTAAATTGTGAAGTGTTAGAGGGCAATGATGTTTGGCTTTGCATACCTAATAGTGATCTCGTGAAATGGCTGTAGGTAATGGATAATTCAAGTAAATAAATAAATAAATAAATGAATTCTCTGAGTTAGCATTACAATATAAACGCTACCAACCGAACAAAAGTAAACATGATTTAATGTTCTATTTCTTGTAATATGAGATGCGCGGAGTTGAATTCTTTAATTATACCAGAATGTATTCACCTTATTCGTTACATCGATAACTAATGGACAAAATATTCTGTTGTAAATGTAAATTCTCACTTAACCCTGTCAAAATCATTCTCGACAAATAGTTATCTTTAGCGCTACTTAAAGAATGTACCTATAGTTGAAGAAAAAAACGACCATAATTTACAACTATATACTGCAATATAAAAATGATACCAAAGAACCGCAAAAGTATACGCCTCAACCCTGGTGGCAGATAGTGTAGTGTACGCGATGCGCGATATGCAAATCCCCGCTACCGTATTGACCGCGCTATTGTGCTGCGGCTGCGCTCGTTTTGTTGCGCACGCGCACGTAACTTATGGCCGATCTGCACAAAGCCGCCGCCTTCCACCCTTTGTTTGAATCCGATTGTCGATTGTTCACTCATACCTTGTAATATTTTAAAAAATCCCTACCAAATGGTTTCACGGGGATTTGAAAAAGAAGTTAATATTTTCAAAGAAAAATATATTTTTGAAAAACTTTAAATTTTATCAAATAGAATTACCAAGTTTAGTGAGGGTCAGTAAACGTAAAATATAGTAAAATGAGCTAAGCTAAATGATTCGAATAGTTACTAATGTGATATTTTATTTTATACATTTTTTATGAACCCTAAAGCATATACCAAGACTATGATTCTGTTAATTTGATCCACAAACACTAAGTCCGGCGAACGCTAAACTCGCTGAGCCTGGGGGCATGTAGAGCGTAGAGCTTAAGTTGTATGTATCTTTGCATACATGCAACCGATTGCTATGAAACCTATGTATGTTTTCAATTAAATTATAAAAAGTACAGTAAATAAAATCATTGCAATATTGACGACTACGATTGAACAGCAGCAGATAAGCAGATAAACATAAAAAATATTTAAAAAAGTTATATATATTATATTTAGCTCTATTGCTATAAAAATAAACTATATGCAAAGTTCTTAAACAAAATATTCGTGGTATAACTATTTATTACATTTTATTGTATGTACTCGTACCTACATCAGATTTTTTTTTAATTTATTAAAATTAAAGTATTTGGGCGACCGAGCTTCGCTCGATGTTTTTTGTAAAAGATAAAAATGTGTTTCTTGTGTACCTAAATACAAAATTTGATCCAAATCGTTAGAGCCGTTTCCGAGCACGAAAATATATATTTATGTATTACTGTCACAAAAAAATATTTGCATATTTTAGAGCCCTCCATCATCCTTACTGGAATAAGAATTTGTGTTCTACAAGTTCACATAAAGCATATTGGTTTTATAATTCAAGGAATTTTTTATCCATTTCCTGAAATAACAGCTACTACGAGTATATGATAACACCTTCGCTAGCCGCCCGTTTCAAGTTCTGTTCCACGAGACGGGATAATAGATTATTATTATTGAATATAGATAACAAAAAACAATAACTTTGAAGACTGTAATGAGAATTTGTTATAATATTAATTAACTCAGAAAGCGACTTAAAATGTTTCATCTTTAGATGAATGAAAGGCAAAGTGGAGCAAGTGTCGAAGCATTGGACGCGACATTCCTGTGTGCAATTAATAAAAAATGAAGCGACATAGTGTCACTTTATTAAATTCAAAGGACCAGTAGTGCTGCATAAATCACGGAGAGCCAACCGCCATATATCACGATCTCTTATAAAGAAGTTCAAAAATTGCGCCTGTCAGAGATGCGATGGTTTTTTTGGAAATTGTTCAAAGTTGAAGCAACCCGCAGAAGCCGCTATTGTTCCGCGCTGGCCTCAACGTGCCGACTTGTCTTTATTGAACATTGTAAAAAAGAGTTTACCAATTCGTCAATCGATTGTACTTTTGTAGGTACATATGTTTGTAATAAAACTTCATTTTGATAATTGAATAGTCAAATCTTAACAACTAATGTTGAGGTAGCTTAGCCTAATAATACTTTAGTGAAAATCTAAATTAAGTTCGATACTAAAGTCAAACACTTGCTTTACAATAAATAAATACAATTTAAAAGAAATACATACATATTATATCAGTATTCACCTGATTTTGATACAACAAGCCTTATTTACAAAATATATTGAGATCATTCTAATATAAAACCTTGTTTTCTAAATGGAATTTCTATGGAAATGCAATGTCACGTTTGTTTATGAATATCACATTTCTAGCCGTTGGATGAATTTTCACACGTAAACAAAACTGAGCTCCCGTCTCATCCGATATAAGAGTATGTAAAAAAGTAAACATAGTGTATTTTCTATAAAAACATAAAAACGACAGCGACTATCAGATGAAACACGTGTACCCGCGATTAATCTCACAGGTAACAACGGGACTGTTGCCGTGTTTTTGCCCCGCCCGGCCCGAAAGGCAATACTTCCCCGAAATTTGCCCGAATTATGTGCCAATGACACTAGCATTAGTTTATTTAATAGCACAAATTTATAACATATTCTTTCCATAATTATCAAAGTCAGCAGCTTCCAATGTCCTGATTATGTATTTTCTTATACGTGAAACATAGCTCCTGTTTTTATTTTTTCTAAAGTAATTAGTTACCGTGACAGGATATTTTGTAAGACAATAGATACCTATTAGATTCCGTGTTTCCATGTATCTGTGAAACTTGTTACTTATCGTAATTACAAAGTCTTTATTTTGGAAGAAATAAGGTGCATACAATAGAAGGTGTATAGAAAGTGGAGATGAAAGTAACGGCATTATGTAATCAGGGTTTGGATTGTCACGCTATGCAATTCTGATCAAACGCTGGGTCAATGTTAACATTTTCCGGTATTAAACAGTAAAGTATCGCGATTCTTAAGATTCTCAGGTATCTGAGCCGAATTTTCCAGCAATGGATTTAATATAAAACATCATCACAAAAATTATTCAGAACAAGAAGTTGTTATATACGCGGAGTGTCGAATTTACTGTTTAACTTTAAATGATGATTTACTCGTAGGGACATATATTATGTACCTTTATAATATTATTATACATGCAAAAAAATTATGATAAGGGACGGGACTTGGTTTGAACATTTTATGAGAAATATGTTTGGGAAGTATTTGGACGGTAGAAAGAGTCAAATCAACAATTAAATAAATTTTACTTGTCTCGTTCAGCTTACAATAGTTGGAAAGATTTTACTTCAATGTATGTATGTATATATAAGAACAGTCTCAATTGAAAACATACCACGGGTGGTGTCGTAAGCAGTAGCTAGTATGGTTGTCTAAGTTAGCTCACGTTTCATTGCTCTACTAAAAAAACAATAAATATTAGTGTAAATGTCGCCGGCACTGGCTGATTGATTTGACAAACAAAAATAATGTAAAGCAGAGGGCGGCGGCTGCGTCAGCGCATCTACAACACAAATGCGAGATCAAATATTGATGAGTTCTCGAAAACTCCGCACCGTTACCTCCTCGCATACGCTCTGCATACATCGCAAGTGTTTTTAAATGATCTTGGACGATATGCGTGGAGCAGCGCTTAGCTGTTGTCTCAGCGCCTCGCGCCCATCTGTCACACTCGTCACCCGTCAGCTCCCATCATTGCTTGAATTATTTATCATTTCGTACCTCTAATTGTTTGCTCTCCGATCGAAGGCTATCTTCTTACTCTGACGCCGCTCTCGGGAGATCATTGAATCGATTTTATTGAAAATTTTTAATACTATTATGTCCTAGAAAATTATTATACATATTTTTTATTACATAAAAGCTCGTTTTAATAAGAACTCATAGTACAGAGTCCCTCCCACATAAATCACATCGGAGACAATGTGAATAATCCGGCGATGTGTGAATAGCCGCGGCGCACTCGCCGTGGAGAATCGCCCAAAGGGTTCTTTGGCCATAATAGGAATATGATTTAGGAGACACAATGAGAGGCGACAAAAACAGCAAGCGACGACCGCACGCCGGCGCAGGTGCCTCGAGCCTTCTATAGAACTCACTGATACGATCTTTTTGCCATTCGGCGTCTATTAACACGTTCAAGCGACTACCACCGCGTCGCACGGCGCAGTCACCGCGGCTCCGGCAGATTTGTGCGCTTCATGCACTTCGCTATCCCACGTACCTAGTAGATAACAAATCAGCCTTTTGTTTACGATTATAACTTCAAATCCAATTTATGATTACTCTGCGCACACCTTTTATGGCCACACGATATCTACGATTTGATTTAATGCCTGCAAAATGTAATGTAAACGGTAATTTTTATTCATGTATTTTTAAAATATTTCTAAAGCTCTTAGATTAAAATGAATATTTTTTGATTGACGTTAAGAACTTGTATAAAAATTAAATAGTCTGATGACAATTCTATATATAAGGTAAACGTTTATAGTACTGTTTTTCTAAAGAAAGTAGGACATGATAATGGAAAGCAAATTGCATAATGAAGTCAGTGACGCGTAGTCAAGAGCTGAGGAGAGCGCAGAACGAGTGCGAGCGGCGCAGGGCGGCGCGCGTGTATGCCGGCGTCGAGGGCCCTCGGGATCTCGCCTCGTCGCCTTTTAATTACACACATTTCAAACATCGCGACAACTTCATCAGCACGCCAAGGGTTATCTACGGAATAACGCTTTTTGTCTTGACGAGACATGTTTGTGACGGGATTCAATTATGATCCAGACCCGCTCTATTCTATATAAACATTATTTTAATGTTAATTAGACATGTTTATTAACGTAATCTACATATGATTGACAAATTGATTTCTTTTATATGTATACCGTAATAACATATACATTATACATAGTTACAGTAGCCTTCAGTCCTCACCTACGAATATGACATTAACACTAGTGAGAAGTTCAATGAATGTAAGATGCTTTCGATTAGGAATTCCAAATCTATATATATAATAAAATTCTAACCAAGCCGAATCTGTACATTAAATATTTTTTTGAAAAACTTATCAAAATAGACATTATTATCGTTACAGAGGCCGAATCTATAGTTTTTAGAATTTTTGTCTGCCTGTCTGTCTTTCTGTCTGTCTGTCTGTTACCGCATCACTGAAAAACCACTGGAGGGATTTTGAAGAAATTTGGTTTGGTAATAGCTGGTTATCCGGGTCAACATATAGGATACTTTTTACCGCGGGAAAATGTCTCATTTCTGAGAAAAAATATGTAAAACCTAAGATTTTGGTTTTTGGTCATCGGAACGCGGGCGGAGCCGCGGGCAATTCTAGTTTTAAATAATAATATACTTACTTATTACCTTTGTATTAAAATCAGGATTTTGTTTCCGCTATTAGTTAATATTTTTTAATATCACTATTTCTGTGATCATGAAAAAATCGAAATTAATGTGTTTTTCAAATACAAGTTTCGTTTTGAAACCAAAGCAACACACATATATGGTTTGGTATGGTATATGGACCAGATGAGTGTGTGATACTTTTTTTTGGTTTCATCGCGTCGGTTCTGGAAAATTTTGATCCGAATAATGAAGTCCTGTGCCTGACTCCAGACGAAAATAAATACCGGAAATTAAATACCGTAGTCAAACCAGACTCATCTCGTCGACAACAGCCTTCGAAGTGACTAAACAAATGAAAAAATAAATAAAATAAAATTGGACCATTTGTATAAATTTTAGTGCATCTGGAATGAAACATAGGGTTCTATGACTAATATAATAAAATTTGCTACACACACGAGTGAAGTCAGGGCAATTGGGTAGTTAAATTTAATAATATACGTTCATAAAAAATATTTGATTATTTCCATGTAAAACGAACCCAGAGATGATTATATGTGTTATTAGATTTAATATTTAAGGTTAGAGATCAGATATAGTTTAGATAGATTATATAAGTAAAGGGTTGGCGAGGGGTCGCTAATGTATTCGCAATAGTTTAATTTAGCAGTGACATCTATCGCTTGTTTGCGGGCGGGCGCTTTCATTATGGCTGATCCCGCTTATTGTCCCGGCGGGCCTCGGCCAAATTAAAAATTAAGAATGTCACAGTCTGCAAGCTCACTACAGCGGGGGACTTGCGCAATAAACTTTTGTTTATTTACGAAGAAATTAGGCTGTAAAATATTTGCTTTTAAATATGCTTTCCATTCTCATGCCAGCCAGTGCTCTATGAACTAAAAATTTGAAAAAAGTATGACCTCAGAAATGGATCGATTAAATTTCATTATTATTATTTTAAACAAAACTATCTTTTCGGATTTTTTCGTGGATTTATTTGGATTTTTGGTTCTCGACGTTTTGAATGCTTTACAGCAATTATGGTCACGGGAGAGACTGAGGTGTTAGATGTCTCGAAGGTATAGTTGTTACAGACAGCTTACCCACAAATAACAAAATGAAAATTGCACCAATTACAACTTACAATATTTTTTAAATTTAAACATTTTTATAATTTTAATTAGTTTTATAATTGAATATGGAATATTATTTATTTAATTTTTGCTGTTATTATTATAATTATTACAATTTTAAAAATATTAATTAGTAATTTATATTTAGTGTTGCCATTATTATATTTATAACCATAAAGAAAAAATATAAAATATAATATTAATTATTTAAGCCATATAATTGTTCTATGTGTAATTTAAAAAAGTTAAAATTAATTAAGCATAATAATTTTAATTTTGTTTGCTATTATTTAAAAAAGACAAATTACTAAGCAACACTATTACTATATACTTTTACAAATGAAAAATGAAAAATATTAATCTGAAATGCTATCATTTTGATCCACACAGTAAGAACTTACTACATCTACCTGTCTGTTATGTTTAGATTTATTATTTGATTTTATTATATTAATAACAGGATCCCATGACGATGATAGTACCCAGCCATCTTCTCTATTGAAATTCGGATGATTTTTAATTTCGTTGGCTTCTCGAATCATTCTAGGGCGATATCAGTTTTCTTTCGCAAGGATTTGAGGTTAATCGAAGCGAATATAATGGCTTGGGCGGTCCTGGCTATGTTTGCAGACAGCAGATGCTATATTGCGACGATGCTTCACATCAGCTATGTGTTCTTTGACCCGGGTTTCAATGGATCGCTTTGTTTGTCCGATGTAAGAGAGCCCACAATCACAATCAAGCTTGTAAACTCCTGCATCTTGTAGAGGGATGTGGCACTAGACAGGTGGTAAGAACTGAACAATTTTCTTTGGCGGCTTGAAGTAAGTTTTAATTGTAGCTCGCTTTAGAATGTAGCCATTCTTGTCAGTGACGCCTCTCATGTAAGGTAGGACTGCAGGGACGCACTCGACTGTGGCTGGTTTCACTCGGTCCCTGTGACGTAGGCGTGGCACTTGCAGCTTGTTGTTATTGTTAATGGTTTTCTTTTTGATGTTATATTTGTCGACCAATTTTTGGTATTTTAATATATGTTTGTTTTTGCATTGGTTAAATTTAGATGTTTCGCGCTTATTTAAAGTTTCAATGCAATCATTGAAATCACTTGGTGTCTTTATATTAAGGGACGTTTGTATATGTTTAAATCTAAGAAGTATTAATTATTATTAGTTTGAAATTATTATAATTACTACAATACGATCTAGAATAATGAATGTTTCTCACGTGACTAAATATATTAAATATTGAAAACAATACAAATTGACGTGTATTGACGTCGATTCATTAGAGGTTAGTGAATACAAACATAGGACAATTTTGCATTGAAAGCAAATGTTTTGCGGTGTTTATTGTGGTCGTGTAAGAGGAACAATGCAAGAGTTCGTTAATTTGGCGGGTACGTGAGGTGCCCGCTGCGCCATTGACGCCGCCGCCCGCCGCCGCGGTCCCACGGCGCTGTTTGCACACCGACGTCCGACACATCGACACACAACTCATTACGTCGACACGCGACCTTTGCGCAATCACTGATTGATTGACACCCTATTAAAGGATTGCTAGGGAGGGGGTCAAATGTTTAAATTGTTATTGGAAACCGTTTTATTACGCTTCTAAATCACTTCTAATGTAGAAGAATACTGTTGATTTATTTGGTTCTGTTGATATAGAAATCTGAAGTACCTACCTTGGCTACCTACATAAATATAAATTTATGATACAGTGTAAAATGTGGTTAACTACACTGTGATAAACGATGGCAGTCGTCTGTTTGATATCTGCACGTAGTAATATTTGTTTTGATAGTTTGCAAAACCAAATTAAACAAATGTATGTACTTAGGTACCGCTAATAACGTAAAGTCATGTTTGATTTGACTGAAAGACAAAAAATATATAAATAATATGTATCGTATAGCTATTTCATATTAATTTTATGCCATGTTTTGAAGTCGTCAGTAATTGAATTATATAACTTTCAATAATTGAATTATATTATGTAAATTCGAGGGTGTCTTTGTGATCTCTTAGCGATGAAAAGTCCCAAAAATGTTTTATACACTTAATTATAACTAAGTGTTCTCAAGAACAGTGCGAGTGGTGCGTACTGTGTACAACCGGGCGTCGTGCAACGTGGGGCTGGAGAGTAGAGACGTACGTTACGCGAGCCGCTTTGCATCTCAAACGCTGCTCGTCGCCACTTGGGCACGACCACGACGCCGCGACGATTGGATTTAGCTTTTAATTATCTTTTTTCACGAGACAATCACTTTTTATTTCGATTTTTTATTACCTGAGTGTCATATTTATCACTTGAAGCCTTGATCTGTAGGAGTCTGAGTTACTATGTCATTAGTGAATATCTCGTTACCATGGTTGTTTTGTTGTATAAAATCAGTATAAAGATATTTAAATTCGACTTTTGTATATTAAGGAAAGTATAATCCGTAGTGTGTGTCTACAGTAGGTACAGACCAAAATTGTTCACTGGATATATTTTTCCATTTTTGTTTGAAGGATGATTTACATCAAATATCCTCGTTTACGAAGTAAGGATCCACCCTTGATGAGAATTTAAAAGGCTTTTTTTAGTTAATTAATTGGATTACTAGTAAAACTGTAAAAAGTTTTTATGTGCGTGTATGTATGTATGTATAATAACTGTAAGTTTGTTACTTCTACACTATAAAACGGTTCGACGGAATTGGATGAAATTTAGTACACAGATAGATTATGACTTGGATTAACACATCGTCGTCTCAGTGCTTATTTGTGCAAACGACCAATTGACGGAAAAAGTTTTTAATACAGAATTATTACTTATAAATGTCAATTCTATTGGTATTAAATACACGTTTTACTTTAAAAACCCGAAAAGATGTAACTTATCTATATAGAGATAGGTACAATTCTTACAAATAAAGCTTTGTTTTTAAAATAGTGGAAAAAGACTCTCTACTGTAAGGCACAATAAGTAATGTTTGTTGGTACAAATAAGCCCTAAGACGAAGACAAAGTCTGTGTAACTGGGCACTGTAAAGCACCTACGGACGCACTCGAGCGGAGCGAGGGTCGCTAGGGCGTAATAAATATTATTTTTATATAGTTATTAAAAATTATATAAATTTCAATATATGTAAATATAAAATATTGGGAAGATTTTTGGATATTTATGAGTCAACTAGCATTGCCCGCGGCTCCACCCGCGTTCAGATGACCAAAAACCAAATTCTTAGGTTTTACATATTAGTATAAGTACATTGCAG